AGCATAGGTTTAACAAAGTATTAAAAATGCGTTCTTCTCGATCCGATTGACTGAATTCATTTTCTCCTACTGACTTATCCGAGCTACTTGTTTTGAAAAGTTCAATCACTAGCCGAGGTGATGCTTCCTTTAGTGCTTGTCTTGTGGTGGTGCTCTGCTCCTGACTGTTCCGCGACCGGGTGATTCACCAAAAAGGAACTGCAGTGCTGAGTAGAAATTTGAACTGCAGTTTATTTGCACTTTTAGTGGATGAAACTGTCACAAATGACAAAGCGTGATCCTAACATCGCTTTGTCCGGCGTGGTATATCTTTTAATGTAAATTTTGTGGTCCTTTATCTATTCTGACTATTTAATCAGTGTACATTTTGTCCCTAATCCCTCGTCGTTCTCATCCAAGATTGTTGTGAAACAAACACGGGTTGGGACGGCCTTTCTTCCGTTTTGTATGAATTCTTTCGGTCCATAGCCCGGCCACGAAGTCCGATGATCCTGCGATTCCATCAGCTGAATCGTCCGAAGCATGTAAGGCCTTGATAAATTTTTATAATTTTTCGAAAATGTCGAAAAATTTGAATGTTTTTATCTAACGGGAATCTAATCAGTCTAATATTATGGATAATTAACACAATGAATCATGTTTAAAATATGCGGTTTCAAATAGTCAATCAAAGCGCGCCCGGATAAATCCTCAGAAGTTTCCGCGGTCGATGATGCCATCAATGGGGAAGCAGTTCACAGATCAATTTCTATTTTCCCCATGAATTTTGTCGGGTAGCTACGCAGTTTCTGCCTGCACTGTGTCGAACTATTTATTGAGAGCTGATCTCACGAGATAACGCCACAGATTAAGCACATATTCCATCATTTGAAATCCAGTTAAAAAAGACTTGAATGAAACGTTACCGCTGAGTTAACAACTTTATTGCTCATGAGGGTACGAAAAAATGAAATTCAGCTCAAAGTCTTATGGCTACTCCCCTAACTGAAATAAAATGACTGTAGAATATTTTGTCATCAGTGGTGGCAGGGTTTTGTCTGCTTCAAGCAAACAAGCTTCAATTAAACTAGAACAGCATGAAAAACAGAGGAATCGACAATGTAACCTTGGATATTTGTAGTAATTGTACTAGCTGTAGTACGCGCTGAATACGAAATAGGAATCAGAGGGGGACAGATAGTATGTACAAACCAAGTTCATTGGCCATCCAATTCTTTACCAATGGCGTGCTACCATTTCTGGTGTTATTCAGCTTCTGTATGGGCCGCACGGTTTCTGATTGGTTGGAGTTCAGAATCTGTGACACATACGCACCTTACTGACGTCACCTGGGAGGCTTGATTCATTACATTTGTTCGAAAACTGCAACGTGTCGCTCCATGATATACGGCATCTCGTAGGCCAGGATCACCACAGTTTTACTCAATCAACCGGTTAAGAAATTAACCGACTAGTTAATGGTCCCTGATGATTGTGTCACACATGTTGCAGACCCCCAGTGATCAATACGTATTTACTTAAAAATTGTCACGAAAAAGGGATCCTATTTCCTTTAGCATTTTTGAGCACTGGAAACCAATAGAGAACTAAGATTCACAAGCCTGGATTATTCCGCTCCACCTCCATTTCCGCAGTAATCAATTCTTCTTACCATTCCACCGTCCAATGGATACTGAACATCGTAAAGTACTATAGCTTGCGAATTGGGAATTGGAATCAAGTAGTGCGAACTCAGATTTGAACTGAAAAATCACTAGATACTGCAAAGTCAGCTAGCACCAAGACGAGCTATGAATACAACTAATTCTATTCGGAAAATCATGCAGATACATTTCACAGGCGTCAAACACATTAGTCCAATCAACAACGATATAACTCATTTAGTTGCTTTCTTACATTCAGCCAATCCGAATGATGCTACTTCAGATCACAGGGTTGGTTGGGAAATCCAATTCCGCTGTAGTTGGTTTTATGGTAGCATTTGGACATACTTGTTTGGGAACTCCGTGCAAAATGCCGAAATCCAAAAGAAAACTGTGTCGAACTCCGGATTGGAGAACAATGTCCTTGCAAATGAATTGCTTGGGTTCGCCTATGATTCATAATGTATAAATCAGATTAGATTAATTGTTACGACAAGATGTACTTCTCAGCATGTGGCATTTCCGTTGACGGAAATATGAATATGATAAAATTTCCCATAAAATTGACACTTCTTATCTCTGAATCTGCAGTCGGATGGTAGATGGAATTTGCCGCACGACACGGATAATGTTCATGTTTGGGATCCTCGGGTTTGAGCAATTTCTCTTGTGGATGTGAAAGGGTGTGGAATGAATCACGATTCTATGCCTCAGTAAATTGCACTGGAATAAAGTAACCGACTCACGGGTTGTTTTTGTAAAGAGATCACATGTTTAAGCATCGGGAAACGTTAGGTCCTTATTCTCACGCTTCCTTCTCTGAAGTTATATTGTTAATGCCTGCAATAAGGTGGTCACATGATTGCTCCTCCAGCCTGTCCCCATAAGTGTACGTGGACGCCTGTGTGTTGAGAAACAGAGTGAAATCTTGATTGGGCACGAACCAGAGAGTTGAATTTAGCCCTATTGGTACCTTGGCAATCAACAGGAATCACTTTGATAGGTAGCAATTGTTTCGGTATTTGGGATGTTAATTTTGCCAGTTGATCAGGGAGAAGGACATTCTCTACTAAAGAATACATTTTCCTTCAATCGACCGTGAGAAACAGTATGGTTTGCTCCTTTTTTCCGTTCTGCCGTAGGCTGCACCAGAGCTTGAAAGGGAGGGGTCAGCAAGTCAGATCTGCCAGTCAGTAGGACGGATGTCAGAATCGGCAATAGAATAATAACCTTTACTACTAGAAACGGAGTCTAAATGAACTTATCCTTTGGTCCTATGTTTGCCGACTGTTTCGTGGTGAAAATATAGACGTAAAAGCCACAAAAAAAAACATGAATCCATTTAACCACAACGACTACCTTCCGTTCACTCTGTTCTGTATTCCAATCCACTGATTCCTTGTTATGGCTATTATTATTGCTTTGATGTTGGCACCATGCTTGTGCGCAAGCCGGTGTTAGGTGTTAGGTGTATAGGCGATGGCAAAATTGATCTCGCCCCTGTAGCCGCATCACTCAACATGACCCGCCGAACAGATTAAGAAAAAATTCATCCGTTGTTCCTAGATATCAATTTAATCAGACCTCTAAGTGGGTTAGTTCAAACGAATGCTAGTTACAGTTATATGATCGGTATCCGTATATCCGGCAGTTGCTTGCTCGCATCGGTATCCCTAACTGTTTCTACAACACGCTTTCTTATCTCCCACAATGACGCATGAACCCCAATCACGTGATGCAACAACTTTGGAAGTGAGACGATCAAACCGGCGAGCAGCTCAGAGACACCGATCGAAACGGGTGTGATATCGAGTCAAGCGGTGGTGAAATTCCTAACTACTCAAAATTAGGTGCTGTTGATGGATTGTAGAAATTGTAATAGACATAAATCAGAATCAGAATCGAGACACCAAATCGCCCGTTGCCGAATCACAAGAAGAAGACCACAGGCTGCTTATTGCAATGCAATTAAATTATATTAAGTGAGAGAAGCGGAGTAGTTGCTCTAATTATGTGATAAATTTTGTTGTGTACAGAACAAATGAAGCGTATACTAAAACCCTCGGAAGAAGCACAGTACACCTGTTGCGACCTGGTTGGATCTCAATAGCAGTGCTGATCTATCGACCCATTTTGAAACAAACCCCGATTCAGAACACTGCCTTCACACAAGTCGATCTGGATCTATATCGACTTGTTCTTTCGCCGGTGTTGCCATGGAGCGTAGGATCACCACATGGAGTTCGAATCATGGATTGTGTGAGGAATGGTATGGGGACAATTAAAAACAACTCAAATCAATCCGTCTGGATCACGCCGTTCTCAGAGTCAAGCTGTGTTCGACAGTATCCATCCAATCATCTGTCAGCAAATATGTGCATGATCTATCTGAATGGGTGATCTAATCCGTAGAGTCACACCGTCACTTATTTCCGTGAAAATGCTGGTGGTCTGTTCAAGTCTCCTATGTGCTCCCATGTACTTTTATTTTTATTTACATTTGTATTTCTATAACGTTTGTGAGACATGCTTACATTTCAGTTAAAATTGTACGCCACACCGGAGAAAATTTAGAAGTATAGACAAACCCAATAGAGTGCTGTGTGAAAAAATGTCTCCGAAGTTTGATTTATTCAATTAAAAATTGACGTCATTCATTTATAACTCGTTCCTTATTGGTCAAGATTTGAGCCAGGTATGATGCAGTAGAGTTTTTAAAAATGTGTATTCTAGAGGGTAGATGCCGATAACAGGAACGAGTGATCCAGTAAGAGATACAAGAAGATAAGTCAGGATACAAAAGGTGGGAGGGGTCATTTAGAATCTTATTGGCAAAGGTCACACAAAATTTCATGACTATTAATAAGTTCTGTGCTTAATGCTTTGGCAGAAATTAACGATGCACGGTCATCTTGGCAGGAGGGGTGCTATTAAGCGCACACTGCCCTCAAGCACGCTTGCGCTTCTCGATCCAAGCATGATTTCCAGATTCTCCAGGCATGTTATTTGTGTGAGGCACAGAATTAACAGACTTCAGTCTAAGCATATCCTGACAAGAGTGTGTCCGGAACATGTGTGACATCGGGGTAACCATAGAATCCAGTGAGACGACGATCACACAAAACGTAGCGCAACCGATCGAAGGACGCGCCGAAAAATTCTTTCTGATTTAAATTTGGATTCGGCCAGTGATCGTGCATCTTCAGAGGTTCGGTTTGATAACTAAAGTGTAAATGAACAAACTGTTTACTTCAATTTATACATCGCAAAATATGGTCAGAATATTGGTCAGAATTTCAGTGCTGTAGAAAGCTAGAAATCGGATGCTGATACCGGAACACAAGCTTTTTCACTCCTTCAGGTAGCCTCAAAAATCCCAAATCTCCAACCGAGCAATTCCGTCTGGGGTGGTTGGTTTCCGTAGGCATTTCCTTTTTTGAGCTGTAGGAGTGCACGGTGAGAAACGTAAACATATTCACTGTGTGACCAAAATTCAAAAGATCCTTGCTGACTTCGATTTTGGATCAGTCCAATCTGTTCTACAACAATGAAATAATTCAGTTCACCCATACCATCGAACAAACGGTTGACTGTGTAAACAATATAACCTATCGGCTTTCGCCCCGTTTTTCCTACCGATCTTCCAGACGGACTCACACCGAACAAATAAGCAGAGAACAAAACAACCAACCGGGTTCAAAAATCTGCGAACCGACAATCTAATCAACCTACTGGAATGTGAACAACATACGGAATCAGTCACATACGGCGTTTGTTAGTATTTTTTTCCACATACACGCTTGCGTCGCATTTCAGTCAACTGGATTATCCCGGTGGTTCACCAGACATTCACATCATCGACAAGTATTTTTCATTATCTCTTATGTAAACAGACATGTGGACTTTTTCATAAGACTATAGATTCGGTTCATTAAAATTCTGTCATTAAAACACAAATACCATAGTATAAATGCCTCCATTTTAGCACAGTTTCGAGTATACCCGACAATTCGGAGACTACTTTCTATGCTTTTTCATCGGATAAGTGGAGAGTTAAAGCAACGCCTGTTGCATTCAGTTTAGACAAAGCAGTTCTCCATCGAGGACTGTATGTTCAACTAGACAGGGTTTCAATACTATATAGGATATACGGAGCACAATTATCTAAAAAAGGTGTTTCCGAAGCTACATCAGCGCTGTGAGCTGAGGTGCTACTCGGTCAACCAGGTCAAGGAATGGGTTTGAATCAAAAGATCAAACTCTCGAATTATCCATCAGTGCGGTAATCCGAGCATAAGACAGTGGAGCAGTGATGAACTGCTGCGATCCATCGGTCAGATCATAAGCCAACCGAACATTCTTCAAGAGGCATTTCAGATTGTCCGTAAAACAAGATCCTCAAATGGAGTCTACAATCGGATATCCGTAAGCTCAGTAGCCCTGGGATGGGCTCCTTTGCCGTATGAGGAGTGGTTTGGAATCATTCATTGTTTGTAAATTCGGCGATTAGGTAAAAATAAACAGAAATTGAACTGTGACCCATTCACTTCAGCTGATGCACTTGCTGAGTGAGAAAAGTCAACGAGGAGACCGTGACCACAGAGAATAGATTTCAAAAGGAGGTGGAGGTGATGAAACCCACCCGATGAAACAAGTACCATCGACACTCAGCCATATCACTTAGTGTCCCTAACCATCGGTTACAATCATCCCGAGGTCCCAAGCCAGGGACCATAAGGGGATCTAGATGTCCCAGTCCCCTGGTTAAGGAGTTCATACCCTTGTGTCAGGTCTTAGCTTAATCACCCTTTGGCATTTTCCCACCCACTGCCTGTCTGGGAAAATAACGCTCGCAGTGACAACCTATTTGGTGACATGCCTAACACATGCCCCAACCAACGTAATCTATGGAAATCAATCGCTTGCTCCAGTCGCCTAAAACTCTACTTCTAACCTCAGCATTAAGTGAATAGTGGGTCCCCACTCCTTCCCGCAACCCAAAGTATTTGGCTTCACAAACTAGCCACTACTGAAGTGATAAGTAAACCTTGGTTGAAACAAACTAGAACTATGATTACAAAGTGGTTGGGTCATGCAGTACAACTGTCTTTACCACGAAACGAACAATACACTATAATCAGATGAAACAGAGCCGTAGAAAGGAATGAGGATTTCACGAGTAAATGCACCTTGATTACCACAGCCCATCCACATTCCCACTCCCATTTAGACGTGCATGACCCTTGATCGAAGCTCACTACACACCTCGACTACCCTATGATTTAAACAGAATTATCAATAAACCACTCAATCGTTTCCATCCGTCCGTTTTTATTACAAATTGTAAATAAAGCGTTGAAGTTGTTCCGCGAGCTATAACAAACTGGCATTGATCGACAAGGACGCATTTAACGAGTTTTCACAAGCTGATTTCTCGAATCCCATCCCTAGATGTCATGATGTGTATAAAAACCATTGAATCCAAATAATTGTATTTCTTCTGTCTATAGAATGAACGATTTAAGGTTCATGATTTTCGTGAGGTAAAAAATTGTGCATCAAATCTGTATGTAAATACTGTGTTAATTCTGGTTTTCCAGTGCAACTGATTTGCCTCTTTCCGTGACAGTCTCCATTTTGACACCAGATTAGCCCATACACGGTGTTTGTGGCAGGCCGTGCTTTTGATTGGGTGCTCTAGGTAGATTTGCCCGAACATGCTGAATCGGGGCAGGGGAACAAGAGGAAGAAAAGCAATGGGGTCGGAAATCAAGCTTAGGACTTAATGAATTATGTGGCCAATTTCGTCTTGCGCAGAGTAAATGAAGTGTGAACCGAAAAGCCAAGGAGCACTGTCCCGTTTTTTGGGACCAGACTGGTTCTCGATGCGAATCCGTTGATCAAACTTGTGACCTCACAGGTAGGATGAAAGCATACTATCCACTTGATCATTGGACAGTTAACGAACACAAAATTTTATTATCCTCCACCCGTAGAGTGTTGTTTGAGGATTGTTTTTATTTTTGTGTTGTGAGAGAAACTTCCTCTTAAACCATGGATGATAACTTCGGGACCGCATCTGTAAAGATTGGTTATATATATATATATATATATATATATATATATATATATATATATATAT